CTTCGAATGGTGCTCTGACAAAGCATCATATACTCCAACTTTTAATTTTAATTTTGGGTTTATCCTCTTGGTTGACATATCGGGGATCAATGCTGAGAGAGTGAAGATGAACAGGCTAGGGTCCGCAATCCTTATTTCATTTGCCCACGAGAGCTCAGCATCAGCATCTCTAATGATGGTTAAAATCATCAATTGTCCTCTCGGATGCACCACTCCACCCACCGAATCAACAAAAGATCTCCAAAACATCCAATTTTAATCTAACTCATCGCCCCATTCCAGTCTGAAGCAAGTCCAAGGGGTGAAATGTTTTCTTCTGCCTTCACGGGCTGCTCACTTACACCCCAACTTCCAGCTCGTACATCAGCCACGAGCTCAGCACCAGCGTGCTGTTGGAGAGGAGGGATAAAGACGTAAGAAAGAAAGTGCGAAAAGGCAAAAGTGTCGTGCGTATACCCACGTGGTGCCAAAGGGGCTGCATTTGGACCAAAGGCGCGGCACATTATCCACGCATGAGAGAGCCTTAAATTATCCGACTCAGGCACCCCCGGGTGTTCCTTTAACCAAATGACTTGTGAGGTGAATGTGCTTGGAAAAATCTCGAGCCGTTGATTAATTTTATCCTTGGTGTGATCGTAGACGTTGACGCATTCTGCTGATACTGGTCTGGTAGGGCATGGGAAATACTAGAGAGTAGGCCAAGGGTGGCCCAATGTTGGCCAGTGCTGAGCCAATCTTGGCCCATTGTTTATCTTGTATCAAATATGAATGACTTGATTTAATCGGGTCTACCCTGATGAAAGATCAACTATGGGCCAAGGCTGAGGGCCACAGGCTGAGATGGATCCAGCGCTCGTCAACACTGGGCCATCCTCGGCCGACCTAACCCATTTATTATCTTCGCTCAAAGTAGATGAGCTTTCATCTGACTCTAAAATAATGTCATCACACATTTCAGCTGCCAGTAATGGTATTCAGTGCTCGTCTACATTCTTCGTCGCCCCCAGATGATGATTCTAATTCTAATGAAATGACACCCGACAGTGTATTTACGCCAATATTAGAAACTCCAAGACAAATTGACGATCGTTAGGCGTCCATTGGAGCAACCACTTCTGCCTGCATCCGAATCTTAAAGATTCTCATCGCAGTCGGTGGTGAATTCAGCTATCAATGAGCTACTCTATTATTGATTGGATTGTATCTACTCTGATAGATCAGGGATGGACCAAGATTGGTTGAGGCAGGCCCAGTGATGGCCAACACTGGGCCATGCTCGACTGATCCTAGCCTATTCCTTATCTCCTATCACAGTAAATGAGCTTTCATCCGATAACGTAAAATATTTTCATCATACAGTTCAGCTATCGGGAATGGAATTCAGTGCTCTTCTACATTCGCCATCACCCCCACAACTATTTCCGAAAATACGAATGAATGTTTCATGATGATTCTAATTCCAATCACCCGGCATCCGATAGTCTATCTACCCCAATGTTAGAAACTCCGTGACAAACTGACGATCGTTGGGCGTCCATTGGAGCAACCACTTCCGGCTGCCTGCGAATCATGAGAAATCTGACCACGACCGCAACGTTAACACCGATATTTCGAGAATGAACGGAATAGGTTTCGATACTCCCCCCGATGGCTATGAACACTACAGCAATAGACTTAGATAGTCCTAGAGTACGGGGGGATGAGGTAAGGGAAATCCGGGGGCAAGCCTAACCGCTAAGAGCTGTGATCCGGTGGTGGTTTATCTAATTGGAATTGTCAGGAGAGAGGTCTGCCTCCTGTGCTACTTTACGTGAAGGAGAAGAAGGTCTTGTAGATGATGCTGTAGGGCGGAATGGGAAGGAGGGGTGACAGAACTTTCGGAGGCTATCTCTTGGTGCACACCAGTACCAAGGAGGCTCTTTAGACTTTAGTGACGTGACGTTGCCTAATACTCTAATCCTACGATCCTTAGTGTTTAGGAAGGGTATGGGATATAAAGACTGTATAACCTGACTAACCTTATCTTGAAACCTTTGGGCCATTATCTCTTGGTCAGGAGAAGCTTATGCCTAATTAATTTGTGGGATTCAATAATACTTGTCTGGGTGTTTTGAGGGGTATCTTGAGGACCGTTGATCCGGGTGGTATTTTGAATGTGTCATTTGAAAGGTAGCAAAATTTTCGACAAAGAATAATATGTAGGGACCTATGTTTGCGTGACAAATATGTCAGCAGATCTAATTTTCTTCCGGACGATTGTCCAAATTTTGGTAGGAATTTGTGCTCGCTTAGAAGATTTCATCACTATGTACATATAATTTTTTAAAACATACCATTTGTCAAAACTTCTCTTGAAACTTTCGGACCATTAACGAGTGTTTAGGAGAAGTTTGAGTCTAATTAATTTGTGGGCTTCAATGATACTGGTCTGTATTTTAAAGGAATATCTTGATGACTGTTGATCCGGATAGTCTTTTGATTGTGCCATTCGAAATACAGGCAAATTTTTGGGGAAAAATAATGTATAGGAGCCCATTCCAATGCAACACCTGCCTCATTGAGATCTGTTTTCCTTTCCAGAGATTGTCCAAATTTTGTCGAGAAATTGTGCTTGCCTATAACATTCCATCATCACCTCCACGTGCATCCTTTCATGCCTAGGGCTCACGATTGATATGCGTATGAGAATTGTATAATTTGTTTCGACTCACCTTGACATCTTGGGGCCATTATCTCTCGGTCAAAAGAAGCTTATGACTAATTGTATTTTGTAGGGAGATCTTGAGGACCCTCAATCCGGGTGATCTTTTAAATGTGTCATCTGGAAGAGACGATAATTTCCGATAAATAATGATCTGTAAAAACCCATTTCAATATGACAGCTACGTCAATAAGATCCCCTTATCCTCCAAAAGATCATCAGAATTTTGTCAAGAAATTTCGCTTGCCCGAAAGATCCCATCACCACGCGCTCCCACCGTGTACCCAAGGATTACCGCCTAATTACTCCCCACGGGCCTCTGGCACAGTGTTTCAAGAGAGGTATATACCCTCAGAATCACCAGAAGCTCGTAGTAAGATCGATCCACTCCTCATTTCTCAAAGTTGAAAGAAACTCGTGGTCGGTAAATAAAAGTGCTAATGTCTTGAGCCAACGGTTGCGATTTAACTTACGATTTTGGATGATCCGTATATACCTCCCACCTTGATTCCACCCTTCATCTGGTGAGTGTGAGTGAGACAAGCTCTCTGGTTCTAAAACTCAAGATATTCCAGAGGGTTTTCTCTAAGGGTAGGGCCACGAGAGTTGAACAAGGACAGATTATTTGAAGTAAGGGATGGGCAGGGGTTTAAGGTTTGAGGGGTGGGATCTCCTCGGGGTTTTCGAGTCCTGGAAGAGTAGAGTCTAAACCAAGCGCTAACGCTGATCCTTCGCTCCAGTGTCTTCAGACAACTAGTGAAATCTTCGATCTTAGTTCCATATAATTCCTGGTGCATGCTTGCGGAAAGGAAGATTTTTTTTTTATTTACTCCATTGAGAGTCTCTAATTAATGACCCCGTAGGCGTCGTTGAGCGACTTTAAAGGAGGGGAAAAGTACTTGAGGATGGAAATTGCGGATGAAGGGTCATCAATTATGCCACCGTCCTTCGACAGAATTCGGTGACGTTATTTCAATTCTGAGGTTGGAAGGAATTAACAAAACTCGGGTTATCGGACGGGCGACCCTCGGGGGTTGCTAATAATGTCGCGAGGTCGTTGACAGTCGATCCTCTTCTATTATTACTCGAATCTTTGATGATCACTCAGCCATGTTCATCATCTACAAATCCTTCTGGCTATCGAATTGCATTCTGCAGGGACTCCCACCCTCTCCACCATGTTAAATCCTTGAAGAAAAAAATATCCAATCGATACCCAGAGCAAATTGAAAATCAAGGTACCGGTGAGGGGTTGCACCAGAGGGGGGATTATGTACAAAATCGGTACTCCAGAGAGGAAAAGGGAAATGTGGGGGGGCCTAGTAATGGTGGTGGATGCATCCAGGGTAACTCAGGACCTCTGCCCGGCCGTCGACCACCTTTTCTGTCCTCCGGTCCTCCGCCTCCCCCGTCATCCTCAAAGCCCCCCGTTATTCGCAAGCGCATACTCACCGGGGTCCAAAGAAAAACCAGTAGTTGGAGTAGAGGGAGGTAAAAGGTGGCCAATACATCCCCCACCCACTCCAACAATTTTACTAACAACCAGTGCCGCGCAACTCACCAAGTCCATCCCCCATACCACCCACAACCATTGCGCAGTACCCGCCCCTCCATTCACCACGTCATTCCCCAATAGCGCCTGTCACAACTACGCGCACTCGCACCAACTGCCCCACTCCTTCTTCACTCAAACATCCTTATCCTTCCCCTTCACTCCTCCATCAGGCACCCCCCACAACATCCTACCCATTTACGTTTGCTCTGACTCTCTCACTCTCTTCCATCCTCTCCTCCTCTCCCACCCAACAACGTGAAAACTTTTACCCCCGACTGAATTCTCCCCTTCAACATAGCACACAGTAGCTCTCGAGCAATCCTACGACACGCGCGTGCCTTTTTTTCCCCCGTTTGTGTACTGGTGAGTTCAGGTTTTTGTTTCGTCACATTCTAAAAGAAAATAAATAAGGGGAGGAATTTCAAAAATAATTTCTAGGCAGGTTTTCGAAAATCATTTGGGTCAAAAAAAAAAAAAAAAAAAAAAACCTAAATTATCCGTTGTGCCGAGATGGAAGACCACGAAGACATTAAAAAAACAAAAGGTGATGTCAACGCGCGAGTGGATGAAAAAAGTGAATTGAAGTTTTGAAAGAAAAGAAAACAAAATAAAACAAAAATTGGTCTTATTTCACCTGGGAATTTTTGTTGTTCCAGGGTGGAACTGACCAGCGTGCCGGGCGGCCAGAATGCAATGGCACATCTCAAAAAAAGGAAACTCGAGGCCGAGTCAATACCAAAAACAATGCAACACACATCATCACTGAATGGTAAAAAACAACAAATGAGTAATTCTCAAGACATAGAACTATCGGATGCTGCATTGAAGAGAAGAAGAAAAAGTATCCGTGATGATGATATTAGCATGAGAAAGCAATCAGACAGTGATAAGACAATGCTACCGCAGAAGAAGCGTGTGTTTGCGTCGAGTAATTGCGGTAGTCCAGCGCGAAAAGCTAGCAAGAATTCAGAAGAGCCGGAGGACGACGAGACACTGATTAGAGAGACTGAGGCAGCGCTGAAGAGTTTATCGGGAAGCTGGCCGGGACCTAGTGGTGGTTTGTACCAGCGTGGTGGATCTGATGACGATCGCTACGAGTCCAACTTCGAGAATCTCTTCGAGGAGAAGAAAGACACGCCAAAGCTGTCACCATGCTCAGTATCAACATCATCAACGACGAGCAACGAGGCAGGATGTTCCTTGAAGGACGTGATAACCTTCCGCGGGCAGGATAGAAGGTCCTTCCAGCAGATAAGACCGCAGCAGCTGAAAACTAAAAAAGACATGGATGTAATGAGAATGGAGGCAGATTGTCCTGTGCAGAACAGCCTTAAGAGCAGAAGCTTGAAAGACAGAATCGAACGATTGCCTAACGAGAAGTATTCCCGCTACGACCCTCCAGATTTCAACGAACTCGTCGATGACTCGTCTAATGAATTAGAAATCGACATGTCCGATCCCCTCGCGGAGAAGGACGACGAGGGAGACCAGCGGTCAGACGACAAGAGCAAAGATAGCACAGCAGAAGGATCATCATCATCACCATCCGGAAGACACCTGTTTTCCCCAACCTCAGCGACATCGTACTCATCATCAGCTTTCAGACCACCAAACACAGACCACACGAAGCCAGTATGTAGAACACCATCAGCATCAACGTCGAGCCCACCAATCGGTCCTTACCCAGCATTAGCAACGTTCGTCGGTTTTCCCACACCAGTTCCAGGCCCGGTAATGCCAGTCCCACAACCGGTTATCCCGCCCTCCAGCGAGGAGAAAAACACCTCTGTATCGCTTCTACAGTTGAAATCACCGAAAGAGGAGCAGCATCAGAGTCAGAGTATTTCAAAAATAACTCCATCGAAAACACCAGCTACTGGACTACCACCAGCTGCAAGTCCCGAAATTAACACCTCCAAGCAATACACGATTTTGCAACCAGCTGGTGTTGGCTCGAGAGCAGCCAGTGCTATACAAGACATCACCAGGGAGGGAGTTGTTAGTGTCACTGCTGTCAGCAGCTCCAGTGGAAGTAACAGTTCCACCAGTAGTTACGCCAGTTCTAAGAATGGGAGCAATAGTGGCATTAGCGGATGCACGGCTAGTTGCGTTACAACGAATACGACTACAACTACCACTGCCGTTGGTGATATTTCTACTACGACGGGTGGTCAGGACGTTATGAAGATTCAGGAGAGGAATTTCGATGGCAATCGACCTGGCATGTCCATGTCACCGTCCAGTATTGGCAGAGGTGATGTTTAAAATTTTTTTCATTGCGGGGAAAGAATATTAGCAATTTGGTAGGAATAGTTAGACTGAGTTATTCTGTCATTGATCAGGATAGACATGGCCTAATTTTTCTAGCAGTTCGCGAAATATTTCGAGCACCTTCTCTAGCCATGTCTAGAGATATCCCGTCCAAGTTCCTGCCAAGTAGATAATTTTCGTCATGCATGAAAGGAATAGATAGTCGCACTTCTAGAAAAAGTTGGCTAGTTATCTGACAGTCCATCCATCCGAAAATTTCCCTAGCTATTCAACATTACTATCTCCACCTTCTTCCTACCACCTAAAAAAAAAAAACATTATTGACACCACATGTGAATGGAATGAGGGAGTAGCGAAAGGGACAAAGACCCGCTTTCTAGTATGTCCTGGACCTTTCCTGCGAATGCTTGTATAAAGTTAGAAAGGGGGAGAAAAGCAGTTTGGAAAATCAATAATTACGAAAAGCCAAAGGAGGGGTTGAAAGCGATGACTCAAATGGGTAAAATCAAGGCTCTCTTATCTCGTGGGGTCTTTACCAACCGGCGGGCCAATCTAGAACCCTTTCATTGAGTTTAATAAATACCGGGTGAGATGAATCCGAAAAAGTGGCTAGTAGTTACAGACATATGTGTTCTACTCTTTTCCGATGCTCATAGTGATGGACCTCTTGGAAATTTTTCGAAGATTAGGTGGAGATTCTCTCTCGTCGTATTAAGCGGATTCGGGGAGGGAGACGGTGATGAGGGGGTGAAGTGCATTCCTGGGTATTAAAGGTAGGTTTTGACGCAACATGAAATTTTGGGGTGATACGGGCGTCATACGTATAAGCCACAGCTGTCAGCGGATGGAAACGTGACTAGCATAGCAGGGAGCTTTCTGTCCCTTCGTTTCTTGGAGGGAGGGGTGGAATGAGAGCCGGGCCTTATTACTACCCTGAAAATTCACCCATCAGTACCTTCATTATCCCCTTAACATTAACGTTGCTGTGTGTATGTGGCAGGGGTTGACAGTCAGGTTTTTTCTGTTGATTAGTTGTTGGAAAAGGACTGGATTGGGATCAACGGAATTTGGGATAACGATGAAAAAAATTATTAGTTTCTTCTCAGAGGTTTCATTAATGTCAAGGAAACTTCTTAAATCAGGAAAAGTTCAATTGTTAAATTAAGAACGTTTGCGTTCTTGAACTGAGAATATTGGAAGGGGATAGAATTCTGATAGAATTGAACATTACTTGCATCAAGGTGTCAAGTGATATCCTTTAAATAACGAAGGATCGGTCAATATGAGTAAATTAATTTTAGAACAGAGCAAATCACCATTCAAGTACAATTATCCTAGATTCAAATAAGAATGAGTGAGAATTTATCTTTCTTCTCTAATTCCCTGGGAAAATTCTCTTGAAAAAGAGAATTATGAGAAAGGGGTTGACAGTCTAGTATCTTTTTATTGATCGCCTATTGGAAAAGAAAACAAGCAGGGGTTCGAGCCTTTTTGGCAGAAGCCATCTGACCGTTACTTTATGTGTTATAACTCTTTTTCTTTCTTTCATTTCTACCAATTCCATTGGTAGTAAGCTTCCGAATGGATCCGTAGTAATTTGACTTTCTCTGAAAACGTTCTATGAACAGGTATATGTGTTTTAATTGATTAGATAGATGGCATCGAAACAAATATTTAAAAAAAAAGTGAGATCGATTGCGTAGTTGATAAGCTATTACACATAAAAGGTTTTCAGAGAAAGTCGAATATCTCGGAAACTACTCATGCGATTGAGCTCATTTTCAACAGGAAGGATTGCTATCATGAAGGGAAGATTCTTTCCAAATTTCAAGTTGATATCTCAATTTTTGCACAAGCTAGAGTGATTACAAGGATTTTTATGAAAAAACGGAAAAATGGGAATATCTCGAAAACTTTGTATGAACGGGTATATATGTTTTGATTGATTCAGATAGAAGCCATCGAAACGAATATTTTGAGAAAAAAAAATTGAAATCGGTTGACTAGCTTCGAAGATATCAGCGAAAAACGATTTAAAAACGAATAGCTTTTTCTCAAAAACTATCCGATCAATCGGGCTGAAATTTTGCCCAGAGTTAGTCCTAGTTAAGTACTATAATCTGACAAAATTGCAGATTTTTTTGAATAAGTTTAGTCAATTAATTACTCAATTTTACCAAAATTGACCACCGGGAAGGTGGCGATGGACATTGACACCGACAGACATGGTCGCCAAACTTCGTATTTTTACGTTTCAGACCATTCTGCATCATTTCCAATCAAAATTAAAGAATGTGAAAACAGCACGATTACAATGCTTCCATTCGGAAGCGAAAATTGGGAAGAACGAAGTTTAGGCTAGGGATGAAAAAAATTATTAGTTTCTTTTCGAAGGGTCCGTCAATGTATATCCGCTATTTCAAGTAAGCAGAGTTCGTAGATCAAGAACCGGTGAATCCTTGAATTAAGAATCTTTCTATTCTTAAACGGAAACATCCGAAGCGAATAAAATTTTGAAACAAGTGAACATTAATTTAATGATCATTACTCATGGTATCAGGTGATGTGCTTGAAAAACAAAGGTTTTATAAATATAAGTAGATTAATTTCTGGACCGGAAAAAGCATCAGCTCAAGAATGCGAATATTCTTAATTTAAGTACTCAGATATCCTTGATTTAAATACCTTAAAGTTCTTATGTGAAGAAGCTGAAAGTTCTACATTCGAGACCCAAAATTTCCTTAAAATACGAAAAAAGAAAAAAAATAACACTTGATTCAAGTAAGAATTAATGAAAATTAGAACTTTCTTCTCTGATTCTTTAGGAAAATTCTCTTAAAAAAGGTATGAGGAAGGGGTTGACAGTCAAGTTTCTTTCCCTTGATTAATTGTCAGAAAAGGACAAAATTGGGAAGACATGAATTTGGGCTATCGATGAAAAAAGAAGATCAGCTTCTTCTCGAAGAGTTCATCAGTGCCTGTCTCTAGATTATCTCCAATCTTCTCGATCTGAAGGGTTGTGAGAGAGGAAAAAAATCCAAATCAAAATTCTCAATAACCTGGGGGAAGAGTTGAGCTCTCAGATTACCCGTTAAATGCGAAGGCGTGAGCGTAACCACGGGATTAGCGTGCCGTGCCGCTTAACCCATGTTGTTCTTTCCCCCGACAAAAATCTCACGTGAAAGAGTAAAAATAAAAATCAGAGAAACCTCAAACCTTCGATTTTTTTCTTACATGATTGCGTGTACAGGACGCACCCCAACTTCAACTCCATCTCTTTTACTCTCCTTTACCACCTCCCTAAAAACCAAGCGTGTTGACACGCTATAAAACCTACTATCGGGAAATCCGTTGCGGCCTTTTGTGGCGAAACCATTCTCACAAAAGAAAAGACGTAAAGGTGAATTGAGATACAAATAATAATAAACGAGGATTATGGCGGGAGATGGGAGATTATTTTCAGTTTTTCGTTGCAGAGGACAGGGTGAAAGTTGTTGAAAATATGATCGGACTGCATATTAGGAATCTAACGGAATTTTCAGAAAAGAATATGTTTGGAAAAATTTCATAAAAAACCCTAATGGATTCACTCGACAATTCTATTGAATTTTTATTGAACTTTCTATTAGTTTTTGACCGGTTCGATTGAAATGTTCAATGGAAACTATTCTATAGAAAAAGTCAATAGAATTGATTTTTGTATACAACTTATTATATTGATCGATCTTCTATAGAATTTCCTGGCTCAAAGTTTCGAAGTTTTTGTTTGATTTTTGTGAAGAAAAGAAAAGAAAAACAAGACGAGTATTTAAAAAAAAAAACAAAATCAATGGGACCAGTAATTTTCGAGATATTCAGGCAAATAGCTATTTTCGTCACAAGGCCAAAACAAACTTTTTTGATACTGCTGCTACCAACACCTCGTGCTGAAAAGTTCCTTTTAGTTTACTCGTAAACGAAAAGTCCTTTCTTTTACTTGTAAGCGAAAAAAGCATCGTTTGGCAACTTGTTGAACGTAACAACACTGTCAAAAAAAAATTCAAAAAATTCATAAAAAATTGACGGGTCAAATGGCAAATCATCAATTATATGTCAAATTCAATGATGAACATTTTTCTTTTGAACCATTCTCCTCCATCTCGATCGAGTTTGCCAATAAACGCATCGGAGCACCAGCATCCGCGCAAGTGTTAACGTGCTGCCCACTTCCCTCCCATCCATGATAACCCTTTATCTATCGCAGTTAGTGTGGAAAACTGATGCAGGGAATAGTGGTGTGAGATGAATAAAGACAAGAGAACATAGAGTAAACACGACAGTACTGTTCAGTATATTTCAAAAGACTAAATTGGGTTCAATACAGAATTGGGAGTACTGGGTGTTTATGTACATGAATGTATGGGTATATTTATTGGTGAGTGACTGTGTGCAAGTATATTAATTCGACGTTTTCGTCAACACTTCCCCTCAACGTTGTTGAATAGCTGACTCGCTCCACGCCTTCAAGTTTATTTTTTCAACAATTCGCTTCAATTTTATCGATCCGACTGGTTTCGTAAGAAAATCTGCCTCATTGTCTTCGCTCCGAAAACATAGCAGCTTTGTAATGTTTCTTCTCTCGGGGTCTCGTGCATAGAAAAACATCGTATCGATGTGTTTCGTTCTGTTGCTAAAAGCTCCATTGCGTTGATTACTTATGGAACTCTAGTTCTCTTCAAAAATTGTTGTTAGTTCGTTTCGGTTTTCGCCAAGAAAACCGAGCAATTTCAGGATCCACACCGCTTCTCTGGACGCCTCTGTGAGTGCCACGATCTCCGCTTTTGTTGAAGAAATCGAGACACAATCTTGCCTCCTGCAACTTCAGCTGATAACTCCGTCGAACAACTTGAATAAGAACTCGCTGTTGGATTTCCTATCCTCTCTTGATTCCGCCCAGTTTGCATCTGCGAAGCCAATCAAGTTTTTATCAATTAATCGATGATT